CTTTTGAAAGAAATTAAAATAGACATTTCCAAACTTCCCGAAAGAATGATCAGGGCTCCTATTTTCACCTCACATTTCATTTATTCCTTTTTTTGTTGGTTTTTTGACTTATGTTTTTAGAACAGGTTTAGGTTTACATTAAAATCGAGAGGAAGATCTAGGGATTTGCCATATACTTCTTGTCCTGACATATACATAGCTTCTCACATTATCAACATCACTTACCAGAATGGTGCTTTGTTACAGTTGATGAACCTGCATTGATGCATCAGAATCACCTAAAGTCCATAGTTTACCTTAAGGTTTACTCTTGGTGTTGTCCATTCTTTGGATTTGGACAAATGCATAATGACATATACTCATCATTATAATATCATACTGAGTATTTTCATTGTTTAAGATTACTTTTTGCTCTGTCTATTCATCTCCTATAACCCCTGGCAACCAGTGATCTTTTTGTAGTGTCCGTAGTTTTGTTTTTTCCAGAATGTAATATAGTTGGAATCATACAGTATGTAGCCTTTTTTGATTGGCTTCTTTTACTTAGTCATATGCCATTTAAGGTTCTTCTATGTTTTTTTTCATGGGTTGATAGCTCACTTCTCTACAGTGCTGAATACTATTCCATTATGTGAATGTACCACAGTTTATTCATTCACTTACTGAAAAACATCTTGGTTGCTTCCACATTTTGGCAGTTAGGAGTAATTGCACATCTGTGTGCAGGTGTTTACATGGACATAAGTTTTTAGCTCCTATAGATAAATACCAAAGAGTGTGATTGCTGGATTGTATGGTAAGAGTATATTTAGTAAGAAACCTCTGACTGTCTTCTAAAATGGCTGGACCATTTTTCACCATTTATTCTTCATAGCACACTATTTCCAAGGTCCCATAGGTTTCTTATATCTGTGCAATCACTTTTTTCTCAAATCCAAAAGCTTTTCTGTCTTTTCTCACCTGAATACAGCTTAAATGTTGATGGAATTCCCACAGTTCCAGCCTGGACCTTCTTTCCTCACTTTTACAGAATTTCCAGGGACAGTCTTTCCCAACTCACATAATTCCATTCACAGTTTCTATTTTGATGATTCTTGAATCCCACATCACCTTATTAAAACTCCAGACCCATAAAGACCCTGACTGTTGGTCAGTTTTACCTCAGCTATTCCATAGGCATCATAAACTTAACATATTAAAAACCAAATTATATTAGCAACTACCCCTCTTCAGATTATTTCCTGAATTCTCTTTCTAGGTGAGCACATTATTTTGGTTGTTGTTCCCCAAACAGATGCTTGTGGTCTTCTTTGAGTCTGCCTTCACTTTCATTTTTCACATGTGAGCATCCTCAAGTGTAGTTACATCTCTTCCCTCAATTTGTTTCAAGTGCGCCTCTCTTATTATTGCCACTCACGTCCTCTTTGTTTCCTGCTTTGATTATGAAGACCCTCTAGCTAGCTGCTTTCCCACTGGCAGGCTTTAGTACTTTCTCTCTCCCATGTAAGAGTCTGTTCTTCAGAATGTGGTTTGGATAATCATTCCATGTTAACATCTGATTTTATTAGTCCTTGCAGAAACTGCCAGCGGTTCCCCACTATCTCAGAATAAATCCAGATGTCCTTCTATGGTTTGCAAGGTCCTCATACAGCCTCTTAATGCTGCTTGTAGATTTTCCCGCATGTGCTGTGTTCTCTCTGGCCTCATATTCGTGCTCTTCCTGTTCCTTTTCCCTGGAATGTATTTGCTCTTCCTTCTGCTTAATTATCTTACACTTAGCATTCAGCTTTAGGTGCTGTTGCTTCTCCCTTTCTCCATGTGTTTTACCTGGATTTTTTGTTCCTCTTACTTGTTCTGGTGAAGCCTGAGCAATACTCTGGTTGCAGTACTTCTACCACATTGTGCTATAACTATAGTCGTCCCCCTTATCTATGGTTTTGTTTTCCATGGTTGGCTACCATGGTCAACCACAGTCTGAAAGCAGATGATCTTCCTTCTGCCTTATCATCAGAAGGTCATTAGTAGTCTCACTTCACCTCATTAAGTAGTCATTTTGAGTCATCTCATTATCATAAGAAGAAGGGTGAGTACAGCACAATAAGAGTTTGAGAGAAAGACCACATTCATATAAATTTTTTATTATAATTCTATTTTATTACTAGTTAATGGTACTATTGTTAATCTCTTACTGTGCCTAATTTATAAATTAAACTTTATTACTGGTATGCATGTATGTAAAGAAGCATAGTCTATGTAGGATACTATCTGTAGTTTCAGGCATCCACTGAGGGTCTTGGAAGTTTCCCTGCAGAGAAAGAGGTACTACTGCAGTTCATTCTGATCCTCCCTCCCCGTGAAGTGCTGCGTTGCCTTCACTTATGCATGTGAGTCTCCAGCACAGGCCAAATGTGGTTGGTTAGTTGCTGACATTTTTCTAGGATAGTGGTTCATAATTTGGGGTGATTTTGTCTCCCAGGGGACATTGGCAATGTCTTGAGACATTTTTGATAGCTATGCTATCAAACCATGCTGCTCTCACTTAGTGGGTAGATGCTAGGGATGTTGCACAGCTCTACAATGCACATGAGAGCTTGCACCACATTATCCAGCCCAAAACAGCAATAGTGCTGAAGTTGAGAAACCCTGCTCTAGGATGAAGTGCAGAACTTTAGGGTACTAAATGAAAAGACTTTTCTTTCTTTTTTTTTTAATGTTTATTTTAAAAATTTATTTCTGAGAGAGAGAGAGAGATACAGAATCTGAAACAGGCTTCAGGCCTCTAAGTTGGCTGTCAGCACAGAGCCAGATGCGAGGCTCGAACCTATGAACTGTGAGATCATGACCTAAGCCGAAGTTGGACGCTTAACCGACTGAGCCACCCAGGCGCCCCTAAAAGACTTTTCATAGTAAAAAGATGAATTGAGTTTAGAGTTCTCAAGTAATATATACAAAGTTTTAGTGTCAAGCAACTTAATTTTCACTCTATACTGCTTTGGTTCTTTTTGTGAACTACTGTTAATATTTATTCAGAATTTGTGTGTGGGGAAAACGTGGGACTTTAGTACTTATTAATGGGTTATCAGCTACCTGCAGTAATAAACATGCAACTGAGATTGTGAAAAGGATACTGAAACTAAGCTCTATGTTTGAGAAGTTTTTTCATTTACTTTTCTTATTTTAAATGTACCTAGTAACAGGAAGTTTTTTGGAGATACAGGAATGAGTGATATCCTTCTTAAGCTCTTATAAAAGGATTTAATTATAAAATCTTCATAAAAGGCCAAATGTAATAAACTTTTTGTCTTATATAGATTAGCAAATGATGAACACTCTAGTGCTACCCTGCACACTCACACACCAGTGCACATGCACACACTTGTAACCACCAACATTAACCCTCATATATTTGTATTCTCCTCACATTCTTTAGCCAAGTGTCTTCTATAGTGCCATGGACACAGTCCTTGTTGATCCATCAAAATAGGCTCCCCATGAGGGACCCCATGCCTTTACTACAAATTGACCAGGGATCCATTTCAACTAAATGAACTGTTTTCATTTAAGAAATTTCAAATTTTGGGGGCGCCTGGGTGGCATAGTTGGTTAAGCGTCCGACTTTCGCTTAGGTCATGATCTCGCGGTTCGTGGGTTCGAGCCCTGCATCGGGCTCTGTGCTGACTGCCAGCTCGGAGCCTGGAGCCTGTTTCGGTCTGTGACTCCCTCTCTCTCTGACCCTCCCCTGCTCACACTGTCTCTCTCTCTCTCCTAGAAATAAATAAAACATTAAAAAAAATTCTTTAAAAGAAATTTCAAATTTTGTGTAAATATTCAATTAGAAAATGTTACTAATACACTGGAAAGTTAGAATGTCAAAGGATAAATTATTTGCTGTCATTAGAACAAAACAGGACTGACTTGCAAAACCAAGTAATGGGAAAATAAAATACCTCCCATACATAAATAATTTAGTGTGTGCCTAGGCAAAGACAGAAGACATCATAGAAAAAGTTTTGATTCTTCTCTCCAGGATTGGCTGTGTAATATGATCTCCTGTTTTTATAATCCAGTTTTTTTGCGGGGGTGAGGTGGTATGCAAAAGCATTTTATTTTTTTATAATCCAGTTTTCAAAAAAAATAGTAATTAGAATTCTGAGTAGGAGAAAATAAAAAACATTTTAGGAAATGGTAGGAAAAAGCAGCAACAACTCATTTCTTAAAAAGTACCTGTTGATATTAGCCATTTGGAACTCATCTCTTGAAAATATTATATTGCAGTTGTGCTAGAAAAGTCAAGTTTATGTCTTTATCCTGGGAGACTCCTTTGGTAAGCTAAGTGGTTACACTTGAAGAGGCAGTTTTCTTTGTATTTGGTTTATTACAAAGAGCATTATTTTTCCCACATTAAATTTCAAAATCCAAAAAGTACTTTTTTTCCAATAGGTATTAGATTACAACGATAATCATCAGCCATTTAGGTTGATATAACTAGTTCAGTTTTTGAGACCGACTATATATGGGGCACATTTCTTTTAGTTTACCAAATATTTCAGTGAAATATTTTCACTGAATATGGTGGATTTTATGAGCTATATTTGGCTTACAACTGGCTTAACACCCCCTTGTGTTTGTGTATGTGGCTTTTTATACTTTGGAGTTTGCGTCAAAATAAAAGTTTAACCTACAAATAACTGTATTTACAAAGTTGTATCAATGAATATAAACAGAATAGAATGGAATAACAGGTGTATGTAAATATGGACTTGAATAAAGAGTTCTTCAAATTTAATTGCATTTCTCTTAATTTTTTTTTCAGAGAAGTTCTACTGAAATTCTGGAATATTCATCAGATAGTGAAAAGGAAGATGACTCAGAGAATGTCTTGTTCATTGATTCAGAATCCTCTCCCAAAAACCACATGGATTTTGGATCTGATGTTAGAGAGGTAAAGGAGAGACCAGTAAGGCAGAAGGTGAAATCTGCAGAGACCACTTTGTACGCACTCCGGAAGCAGACATTTCTCAGGACTCCAGAACCATCAGCAAAGAAGAAGCTTCTAAGGTTATATTACATCTCTTTAAATACTTGTTTAGAAAGTTGTTATCTTTCTTTAAAAATCCAAATCCCTGGGGTGCCTGAGTAGCTTAGTTGGTTAATGCCTGACTCTTGGTTTCAGCTCAGGTCATAGTTCGTGGATTTGATCCCTGCACTGGACTCTGCGCTGGTAGTATGGAGCCTATTTGGGATTCTCTGTTGTTCCTTCTCTCTCTGCCCCCCCCCCCCCCCCGTCTCCCTCTCTCTCTCTCTCTCTCTCTCTGTTTCTGTCTCTCTCTCTCTCTCTCAAAGTAAATAAGTAAAATTAAAAAAAAAAATCCAAATACCTAAAATGTGAATTTATTTTAAAAAAATTTTTTAAAATTTGAATTTAAAAAAGCTTGTTTTCTTGGAGAGGAAAATTGGCAGAATAGAATTGTAAATTCAGTAAACAATTACAGAACTTCTAACTTCTGGAGATGAGTTAGGGAACTGTTTATCCCAAGCCAAGCATTTGCTGTTTCAGTCATAACATGACTGCTTTTCTTTTTTTTTTTTTTTTTTTTTTTAAATTTTTTTTAATGTTTTTATTTATTTCTAGGAGAGAGAGAGAGACAGTGTGAGCAGGGGAGGGTCAGAGAGAGAGGGAGTCACAGACTGAAACAGGCTCCAGGCTCCGAGCTGGCAGTCAGCACAGAGCCCGACGCGGGGCCCGAACCCACGAACCGCGAGATCATGACCTAAGCGAAAGTCGGACGCTTAACCGACTAAGCCACCCAGGCGCCCCTCATGACTGCTTTTCTTAGTGGGATGGGTTGTTTTGAGTTTATCAAATTGTATTGAGCATCAGTGTTCTAGGTACTTGGACAATTACATAAATGACAAGTAAATGACTATTCCTGTTTTTTAAAAAAAGTTATAAAGAGGAAAATATACATATATTTAAATTACTTTTACAAATACAGTTATAGAGATTATCCAAAGGAACACTTGCAAATACAAAGATGTACAAGAGAGCAAAGATACAGATAGGAAACTGGCTGGTATGTGTATGAAGAACCATAAGGGCCAGGCCATAGAGGCCTGCAAAGGGACTCAGGGTGTGCCTTATAAGAGCCATGTACCAACCCTGTGTAATACATGGTCTCTTTGTGTTTTAAATTAGAACAAAACAATGAAAATAAGATTTCTTTGAAAGTGAGAACTTGTGGGAAGCAGTGCCACAGTCAAGAGTTTCAAGGAAAAAGGAGTTTTCAGTAGAAAGAGTAATGTAGCAGTGAAAAGCACAGGTTTTGGATCTGTTTAGGAAATGTTTACATAAGGAGGGGGAGGCTGTGATATACTGAGAACCCAATGGCAGAGGAGTGGGGACAGTGCTGTGAGTTCTAAGCCTGGGACTTGAGGTAAGAGGTCGAATGTAGAGATTAGCTGCTGGTGGCTTAAAAGGGATCTTGGGTCCAAAGAGACATCAGATGAAAGGTGAGGCCTATTTAGAAAATAATGGGGAGAACCCAGTAGAGACAGAGCAGTTGGGAATAATTGCTCTGTCAGTGTCCAGGAAAAGGAAGTAGGGGAGGGCAGGCAGGGGAGGAGAGTCCTGTCTTAAGCATAGGAGTAGAGGGAAGAGCATAAGGATGTGACAGAGTCTAGCGGGATGTAGTAAGGTGAGTTTATTGATGCTTATTCACCATATGTGTATGTTTATAACATAAAATAACTCAGAAGATCTTATGCCCAGAGTGGAGATGTTAAAGACTCAAAAGAGAATGGTGGTGGTTTGTAATAGTCTTTGGAAAGAACAGGAAAGGAAGACAATTAGAGGGATCTGAATGTCCTTGTTTTTGAAGTTAATGCCACGTAATTACAGAAAGCCATGTCCTTAGCCCTACTGAGGGCCTACTATGTGCTGAGCACTGTTGTATGTCCTGTGTTAGGAGAATATATGATGTATGATGAAGACCCAAGATGTAAAGTGGAAGTAATGTCAAAAGGAGATAAACTTTATGGAAAGAAAGCAGAAAAGGGGATCAAGACTGGTCAACTGGTGTGGGGAAGGGCATTTTGTAGAGCTGACATTGTCTGATATGAGGCAAGAGGGTGGTACAGGGGATCAGATAGATTTGTTTTGTTTTCTTTTCTTGATGAGAAAATCATGAGGTGTCCCCCCTCTCCTCTGAGGGAAGGAATTGTTAGCCTCTTACTTTCTCTATTGTAAAATGACCATATACATTCTTTGTACAGTTGATATACTGAGTCTGAGTTTTTATTATTGTTTTGCTTCTATACTTTCAAACAAAAATTGTAGGTTTTTTCCCACTAACTTTCTGTTTGGTATTGAATTATTTTGTATGTGTGTAGATGTATTTGCAAGAATGCGTGAAGGTTTCTAGTTTGTGTGGTTAGTTCTATCACTTGTTCATATTGTATCACTCCACCTCCCCCATTACTTTTTAAGAGTAGAATGTTTGTCTGCATTTTAGTAGTAATAAATCTTTTACATTTATTGTATTCTTTTTTTCCTTTTAGTTTTATGAAAATATAAATGATATAAAGCACTGTTTAAGGTGCATAGTGTAATGTCTTGACTTACATATATTGTGAAATGATGACCACGATAAGTTTAGTTAACATCACCTCATACAGATACCAAGAAAAAAAGAAAACAAAAGGTTTTTTTTTTCCTTTTGGTAAGATCTTTTAGGGTCTACTCTCTTACCAGCTTTCCAATATACCATACAGCAGTGTTAATTAACCATCGTCCTCTGTATGTCGTATGTTACATGTACAGTACTAACTTATCACTGGAAGTTTGTACTCTTTGACCACTTTCCTCCAGTTCTGTCCCCCCACTGCCACCTCTGGTTACCACAATTCTGATCTTTTCCTCTGTGAGCTTGTGTTGTTTTTGTTGTGGTTGTTGTTGTTGTTTCAGAATTCCACATATAAATGAGATCATACAGTATGTATCTTTCACTGTCTTGACTTATTTAACTTAACATAATGCCCTCAAAGTCCACCCATGTTGTCATGAATGACAGGAGTCCCTTCTTTATTGTGTCTGAATAATATTCCTGTGTGTGTGTGTGTGTGTGTGTGTGTGTGTTGTATACATACATACATACATACACACCACATTTTTTTTATTCATCTATCTGTCAATGGACTCCGGTTGTTTCCGTATTTTGGCTATTGTAAATAATGCTACAGTGAACATACGGGTGCAGACCTCTTCAACATAGTGATTTCATTTCCTTCAGATATATATTCAGCGGTGGAATTGCTGGATCATACAGTGGTTCTATTTTTAATTTTTTGAGGAATCGCTATACTGTTTTCTGTAGTGACTGCACCAACTTACATTCCCACCAACAGTGCACTAGAATTTTTTTCTCCATATCTTTTTTTTTTTTTTTTAAAGCATCACTATCTTTTTTTTTTTTTTTTTATGTTTTTATTTACTTCTAGGAGAGAGAGACAGCGCAAGCAGGGGAGGGTCAGAGAGAGAGAGAGGGAGTCACAGACTGAAACAGGCTCCAGGCTCCGAGCCGGCAGTCAGCACAGAGCTCTACGCGGGGCTCGAACCCACGAACTGCGAGATCATGACCTAAGCGAAAGTCGGACTCTTAACCGACTAAGCCACCCAGGCGCCCCCTTTTCTCCATATCTTAATAAGAATTTGTTATCTCTTGCCTTTTTGATGATAGTCACTCTAACAAGTGTGAGGCAGTATCTCATTGTGATTTGATTTGCATTTTCTTAAAGATTAGTGATGTTGAACACTTTTTCCTATACCTGTTTGTCATTTAAATGTCTTCTTTAAAAAAATGTCTATTTAGATTCTTTGTCCATTTTAAAAATTGTATTATTTGTGTGTGTGTGTGTATTTTGCTATTGAGTGTACAAATTCCTTTATATATTTTGTATATTAACTCCTTATCAGGTATGTGATTTGCAAATATTTTCTCTTATTCTGTAGGCTGCCATTTTATTTTGATTATTTCTTTTACTGTGCAGAATCTTTTAGTTTGTTGTAGTCCCACTTGTTTACTTTTCATTTTATTCCTTGGGGGTTAAGTGTCATATCCAAAAAAATTATTGCCAACACACATGTCAAGGAGCTTTTTTCCTATGTTTTCTTCTAGAAGTTCTGTGGTTTCATGGGTTAACTTTTTAAATCCATTTTGAGTTAATATTTGTGAGTATTGTAAGAAATAGAGGTCTAGTTTCATTGTTTTACATGTAAATATCCAATTTTCCCAGCACCATTTATTGAAGATACTGTCTTTTCTCCATTGGGTATCCTTGGCTCCCTTATCAAATTTTAGTTGACTGTGTATATGTGGGTTTATTTTTGTGCTTTGTATTCTGTTCCATTGGTCTATATGTCGGCTTTTACTCCAATACCATCCTGTTTTGATTGGTATAGCTTTATTTTATAGCTTGAAATCAGCAATTGTGATGTCTCCCACTTTGTTGTTCTTTCTCAGGATTGCTTTGGGTATTTGGGGTTTTTGTGGTTCCATACAAATTTTAGGATTGCTTTTACTATCTTTGTGAAAATGCCGTTGGAATCTTGATAGGGATTGCATTGGATCTATAGATGGCTGTAGGTAGTTGTGGACATTTTAACAATATTAATTCTTCAAATCCATGAACGTGGGATATCGTTCTATATATTTGTGTTGTCTGCAATTTTTTTCATCATGATTCTATATACAGAAAAGCCTAGGGGCGCCTGCGTGGCTCAGTTGGTTGAGTATCTGACTTCGGCACAGGTCACGATCTCATGCTTCATGGTTTCAAGCCCCACGTTGGGCTTTGTGCTGACAAGTCAGAGTCTGGAGCTTACTTCAGAGTCTATGTCTCTACCTTCTCTCTCTGCCAGTCCCCTGGGCAAGCTTGAGCAAGCTCTGTCTCTCAAAAATGAATAAACATTAAAAAAGTAAAAAAAAAAAAAAAAAGCCCAAAGGCTCCCATTAAAAACTGTTATCTCTAATCAATGAATTCAGTAAATTGCAGGATATGAA